ACACACACACACACACACACATATACATACACTTGGGATTTGAGGGAAAATGTTGTTGAGCTTTTCTTAAACAGACAATCATATAATACATGTTCACATATGAGATAAAGTATTCAAAAAGTGGGTTTAAAAGCCGACCTTTGTGAATACTCTATCCGTTTCCGATTATGTGTTCCCATGTTGGGGTAACTTTTTAAATCATTGACTTAATGAATACTCTATCTGATTTTTTTTCCCCGTAGAGTAAACACTAAATACTAAACTATGTTTCAGTTGCATCATGTTTATTGATAAAGCTGGACTACTAATCCTCATCGTCAATCTCCCGAGTTCCAACTAGGGCTTGACTCTCTTGTTGAGAGATCCATGTCATACCTAGAGAGTAAAGGTGAAACCAAATATCCGTGTGAGCAAGCGGTCTAACACCAAAGGATATAAAAAATTGTTTTGAAAGAATATTAGGTTCTTGACACGGCCATATAAAAGGCATCGGGCATAAGCCTTCTGAGGTTGTCTATGTATGATCAGGAACAACCACTAACACAACCACCACCATAATCACATGTAATTGTTAGTTTAAGTGTAAAAGTACAATGTTATAATGGAAAAACGAAAAAGTGTGATGCTATATTTATCATGAACTTAATTTGTAAAGTAGAACGCTATAATGATATGTTGGTAATTGTTAGTTTAGTATAGTACAATACAATAATGGAAAAATAAAAGAGTATAATGTTATAATGTATATTCAATATTATGTATGATGTAGTTTGGTTATAATTTAATATATTGGTATTTTGTAGATTAGTAATTGTTAGCTTAGTATAATACAATGCTATAATGGAAAAATGAAAAAAAAAAAAAAAAAAAAAAAAAAAAAAAAAAAAAAAAAAAAAACATGTACAATATTATAATGTATATGCAATATTGTATATGATGTAGTTTCCTTATAATTTGATATGTTTGTATTTTGTAGTTTGGTAGGTTTTTGGAAAGTATATTGCTAAAATGGAAAAATGAAAAAAAAATGTACAATGATATAATGTATATGCAATATTGTGTATGATGTATGTTTAAATGTATATGGAAAGTAGAATGTTGTAATGATATGTTGGTAATCATTAGTTTAGTATAGCACAATGCTATAATTAAAAAGGTGAAAAAAGTACAATGCTATAATGTATATTCAATATTGTGTAGGATGTGGTTGTAACATCCATAAAAATTCATAAAGTTTAAACTTTTCAAAACAACCGTTTTTATAAAGAAGTGTTTACACAAAACTATTGTTCCCAAAAGATCATTTAAAATCAGAATTGATTTTGATATATTTTTCAAAACATTCACGTTATCAGAGTTTCCAAGAAATCATAAGTCCAAAACACAAGGATGTGTATGGTCACACCTTCACCTTGATACGATCCACTGAAGTATCTAAAACCATAAACCAAAACTGTAAGCACGAAGCTTAATGAGTTCCTCCAAAATACTAACACCCAAAAAGATAACATATACAAATAAACAGCATGTATACAAAACCTTCATTATGTCTGGACCACCTCACTAGGCCTTCAACCTGTCTAGACCACTCACAGATGCTTCAGACTAAAACTATTTACTCCAGGTAGTGTACATGATTATGAATAGCATAACTTACGTCAAACACATGGGGAACATAGATGTACTACAATTGTCAAATTTGATTATTAATCAACCTTGAAAGAAATCATATAAAAGAGATTAATAAGTACCACTTAACCTATCAAACAAATAAACTAGCATGGGTAAATGTAAAGGTACTCATATTTGTATTTAATCATTCCTCATTCTAATTATGATTTCATTTAAATGTATATTGATATTTTTTTCACTAATTCCTAAAATTGATTAGATTGGATGGTCAATTCACTAATCTAATGATTCAAAGTTGTCTACTAGCAAAAATATCTCCCCTAGAATCAGTCGATTATTTCATATTATTAAAAAACATAATTCGTATGATTAGTCTCAAGGTTGGTGTTGACTTCTCAAATTGTCTAACTTAATGGAAAAATTATGAACATTAAACCAATATTACTATGCTTAACCTAGGGACGACTACACTAGTCAGATTTGCCTACACCTCAATTGGTCAATTTCTAATCTCCAGTTGTT